TAAGAGGACAAGCCAAATACTGCCCACGAGCAGAGCGAATCCAAATACGGAGTAAAGAAATATATTCTCCAAATTAAAATATACTCAGAAAAGTTCATGTACAGTCAAGAAATCAACGTGACAGCTTGTTGAGACCTTCCTTGAGAACCACAATCTCGTATGCCCAAGTATAACTTGAGGAAAAGAAGAAACATGCCATTAGGAACGCCCGAGAATGCCTCGATTTCCACACAGGCAGAACCAAGTAAGCTTCAGGCAGAAATCATGGCTACGGTCCACGAGAAAAATAAGGAAATCGAAGTACTTAAACAAAGAGTGGAGCTAGAAAAGCAACGACAAGAAGAGCAAGAGCAAGCCTCCATGAGACAGCAGTTACTGGTGCTCAAGCAACAACAGCAAAAGCAGCAAGTACTAACACCCCAACAACAAATGCAATAAGTCAGTGCCAGCTACAACAAAACTGCAACATCAAGCTGGAGAAATTTGATGGAAAAAATTTTCTGTTCAGTGGTGGATATTTATAAGGGCAGAAACTATATACCCGAATCTTCGACTACGGGCGCACAAAAACGGTAATAAAATGAACGTTCTACTGTAACAGAGACATTTACTCGCCTCTACCTTGGATTGCGAAGCTTTGGAGGATTTGATGTGTGTCTATGATAACCCCCAAGACCACGAGCTTGCAGACTTTTAATATTTTGGATCTGACCTTCGAAATTGAAAACAGAATAAAACATGTGAAGCCAGGCGATATTTACATTCCTGGATCATACTTCCAATTTGTTGGAAGTTTCCGGGCTTTATTTGGATTGATGGGCTTTGGAGATCATCTTGATGACCATCACCAGGCAGCGTCTATACTGACTGAACATGAGCATCTTATGAAATAAACATGCAAATGAAATAAAATGTTTGTTAAAAAAATGTTTTTTAGATAAAGTCAAATTTATTGTCTATACATAATTATAAGATTAATATTTTTTCATTTAAAAATATTCCATATCAAATTAATTATATTTGCGAAATATTCATAGGCTAGATCATCATGACAAAGTCAGTTATATGTTATAATGGATATCCAACAGTTAAAACGATATTCAAACTGTTCATGCATATAAAATAAATATATAAATACATGTATATATATGGAAGATAATTTCGTCATGAATTAACACTGTTAGAAGTTTTTTAAATAATAAAACAATGCTCCGGAAACTATAATAAGAGGGAGAAGTGTCGCTATGAATGGGGGAAGGCTGGCTATAAAGTGAGCCTTCCCCCGGAAGAAAGGCTATATAGTGAAACTTCCGTGGGGGAAGTCTCACTATATAGCCATTCTTCCGGGGGGGGGGGGAGTCTCACTATATAGCCAGCCTTCCGGGGGGGGGGGGGGTGGGGAGAAGACTCACTATATAATGAGCCTTCCGGGGGAAGCCTCACTATGGGGGAAGTCTCACTATACGACACCAGGACATCTAGCTTGCCAGTCCAGTGTTCTACCTATTGAGCTTAAGGGTTACCCATAAACTCAAGTTAGTAGGGTGTCGTGGAACTTACACTTCTACATAATTATCCCCCTCTAGAGAATAAGATGCCATCATCTCTTTTGGAGTTTCGACGAACTAAGGAGTGGATCTAGGTTTTGAATAACAAATGTAAACCACCGGTAGATATCATTAAGATGGCGGATATTTCAAAGGGCCCGACTTTAAGCATCGATACCCAGGAGCAGGGAAGAAGATTTTCAAAGAATTTATGCCATGAATTTCACAATTTGGTAGAGGACTCAATGCTGATTACAATAATGCAAACAGTTTGACTGCTTGATGTCCAGGAGTAAAGAAGAATAGTTTTAAAGATTGCATTAATTTAAGTGGTTTTGGCCAAACCCTTCAGGCCCCATGGGGCGGGGACTATGAAATTCACAATTTTCGTTCCCCTTTACCCATAGATGTTTTATGCCAAACTTGGTTGAAATTGGTTGAGTGATTGCGTAGAAGTTGAAAATATTCAAATATTAACGCACGACGAAAACAAATAGCAATAGGTCACCTAAGTTTACTCAGGTGACCTATAAATAATAAATTTTTTTTTTTTAGAATTCTATCCTCTGTGAAAATTGTTATCCTCTATCAAACTATGGCTTGAATGTATAATGTTTAACGTACCATTCGAGAATTTTCACTCACATGAAGACGTCACCGTATGACGATGAAGGGTTTCAAATTTAGACCTAATACTCAGCACTCGATCAGGGCCATTGAGGAGTGAGGGTTCTGTATCGTGCCAATGCCTACCGTGACAGAGGACCAACGTTTTAAGGTCATATCCGAAAGACCCGTGACGTTCACTTTTAGGGCCTGGCGCTTGGCGAAGGAACAGTCACTACCTATGTTTATATCTTATGTTTGACACAGCCGCGACGAACGAGAATCGAACCCGGGCCTCCCGATCACGAAGCGAACGCCCTTTAGCTAGGCTACCACGACCGGTCGAAAATATGGAAAGAAAAATCACAAATATTCCGTAATCTAAGTCAATTGGTAAAATTTAAGTCTAAATGGACTTAATTTATAGAAATTATGAGAGGTTATTTTGACCCTTGACATAGTAACTTCGTTCAAAGTTACTGCACATCCGTTGAGCAGTGGCACTATGTGAGTGAAAAATGAGCCACACTGGACCAAGGGAAGAGAAGATATGCTCACTCCGGACAAAATTTTTTCATATAATTCTGATATGTCCTTAATCTTAGAAACATCGCTTATGGTCACTGCACACCCTTTACCTTAAACACTTTGTGGGTGAAGTATGAGTCAGATTAGGTCAAGGAGAGAGAAAATATGCTCTGAACAAGAATTTAAACATAGATGCTATTTTCTTTTACCTTGACCCTTGACCTAGAAATTGTTGTTACATAATAAGCTTCTGAAATTTACGCAGCTTTCCTTCTCTGTTGAAATAAACATAGGATAGAAATTTGGCCGAATGTCAACTAGTGGAGCAAATAGCCAATTACCAGTTCTCGCACGGCACAGAGGCGGGGCTTACGTCGTCTAATCGTTGTCTTAAGTCGTTTCATCGTTGTCAACAATTTAAATTTCCTGAAATTATTAATTTCTTAACCAATGAGAATCTATTCGCCATTTGACAAAGACTAATTACGTAACGCCGAGAATGCCACGCATTACTGAAAGTCCAAGCTTAACTGAGAATTGTCTTAAGTGTCTTTGGTATCTTTAAGTTACTTTCCTACATTGGAAGAAGTAGTTTTTTGTCGCTACTGAGTATTGTATAGCATACGTCCATGTACACCAGTGACAATTCATTACACTGAACAGTGACGAAGTGACCGGTTCTATTTATAAGGGCCTGCAGATGTAGCGAGAGCTCGAACAAATATGGCGGACAAATTCTTTTTACGAATCGTGTTCAGCTTTAAAGCTACATTGTATATATCAATTTGAACAACCATATGCAGAGACTTCAGCCATAGATGATGCTATTTGTCAGCTTATGCAGCAAAGTTTAGATCAGCAATTCAAGATAGAGACCCTACAGTTTCTTTCTGGAAAATCCAATAAGCATTAGGATTGATTGATTGTATATTGATTAACGTCCCTTTTGAGAATTTTTCACCACTTGCCGGTGGAGAGCTGCAATTTTTTTCCTTTACTCGGCACTTAGGGCCATTAAGCATGGAGGGGTCTTTTTCATGCCAGTACCTACTGCGACACCGGACCTCGGTTTATATGATCTCATCCGAAGGACCAGGCACCACATCCCACAGTGGGATTCGAACCTGCGACGTAAGAATCAACTCCTTAATTCGCGACTCTACAGCAAACGCTCTAACCATTGCGGCACGCAGGCGACCGAAGCATTAGAAAGCAGACGAAAAAGGGATTCTTTGATCACTGAATACGACATAATTTTGCTGCAAATTTATATCTATGAAGTGTCATTGAGCATTGAAAGAACTTTTCGTGTCAACTGTTAAATTTATAAGGGGCAGGTAAATGCAAAATTTACAACATGAAAACTAGTAAATTCAAAATTACAACATGATACAACACCTAATGCGACACGGGAATTAGGTTTATAGGTCTCATCCAAAGGACCGGTCTCCACGTCCCGCAGTGGATTACTTACTCCGCGACTCTAGAGCCGCCCCCTCTCTTACCACTATGCCACGGAGGAGACTCTTCGGTCGTTACAATAAATACAACCACTTGGTCGCATTTTGATGGACATTGTTATATCTTTGTGTTTGAACTAAATTTAACTAGTTAATTTTCCATCTACCTGATCAGTAGGCTAGGACTCATAGCAGACATGACCGGTCAACATGGGATTCCTAGACACCTTATTCACAAAGCCTCCGTAAACTAACCGGACCCGTAAACTTTGCGGAAACGACCCGCAGTCGAAAAATTCTTATTCACAAAGCCTCCGTAAATACCGCATCCGTAAACGTTGCGGAAACTCTCCGTAAAACATGCGTTTTTTTACGGGAGGTTATGACTACCCGTAAAGATTCCGAAAATGAGCACATGTTAAAATATTTTTTAAGATTAATTGAAATTTTGTCTTTTTAAATGTAAATTCAAATAATTTAATTTCAGTTGTATCACGTCATTTGATTGGTTAAACTGTTTTATCCATTTTGTATAACATAACTTGCCTACGTCACAATGAGTTACGTCAAAAGCGTATTACTCCGCTTGACGTTAACTTTTAAAATATGCGATATTTGAAGCCTTTTTTCCGAAGGAAAAAATGGAATAATTGTCTCATTATCTATATTGAAATTAAATTATAAGGAATGAAGCTTATTTCAAGTTATGTTATACGATATAACATAACTTGGGACAGTTTACGCTTTTTTATAAACCGCTTCGCGGTTTAAAAAGCGTAAACTGCCCCAAGTTATGTTATATCGTATAACATAACTTGAAATAAGCTTCATTCCTTAAATATTCAAAAATGCAGCAACTTCATTTTTTTTATATGATTGAGATGAAAAACAGCTTGGAGCACAAAATATTTTAAAGTACACTGTATTAACATTTTAATGTTATCATTTGTACGGAGTTTCCTTTACTAGGAAAAGTTTTAGAATATGCGATTCATATCAAATACAGTATGATTAGAATATGTTGTTCATATTCAATACAGTACAATACAGTTACAACGAACACTCATGACGCCAAAACAATTGTTACGTTATTTATGACGTCATATTGCACAGACATGGCGTTCCAGATAATGTTTCAGCGCTCCGTTTCGATAAGAAAAGATAGGGTTTTCCGAGATCGGTCACACCCCTTAGACATCTATGACGACACGGAATTGATTCGCCGCTACAGGATGCCAAGATGGTGTATTCTTGAACTTATTGATACCTTGTCGAATGACTTAGAGCCTCCCACAATGAGGTCACACAGCATTCCTGCATCGCTGCAGGTATTTGCAGCACTCCGGTTTTATGCTACGGGTTCATTTCAACAGGTATTTTAATTTCAAAAAACATTCATGTAGTGAGACATTTATATTTCTAAAATATTTAATTTGCTAATTTGTAGAAAATCCCATTTTTCAATTAAGTCAGTGATATATTAAGCATATATAGGCCTATAGCGTTTCTTATAGACCCATACCTAGTTATGAAGGACAATTGCGTTTCCTGAAAAATAATTAAAACTTACTGTAATTGATAATTATTCATAAATTCTTTTTTTATAATAATTTAAAAAAGGAGCTCTATTAATGTTTTTATTATTATTAAAAAAACAACTAAATATGCCAATGTTTGTATGATGTCATACATTTCATTAGACAAAACCCGAAATAAAGGTTGCAAAACTCTATCAAGTTTCTGTAACTAACGCTGACTAAGAAAAGTTATTTAATAAATGCAGACTATTTCGAAGCTCATTACGTTTTCTACTTATATTTTTGAGTACACTCCTAGAAAAATTGAATTAAAGTCTAAACAAAATAGTTATTTTAATAAAAATGTAACATGAACACTGTACAAAAACACTATATTTAGCAAAAAGCGACAAGCTCACAAAAATTTCATATAGGAATAGAAAATTCTTCACCGATCAATTGGCCTCTAAAATTAATTACTTTAGTATTTCACTAATAGCCTGGTCAGCGTCAGCAGATTTTATATATATATATATATAGGACCAGATATACATGTACAATACATAGACATGCATGATTGTAATGTGGAAAACGATTAATTTTCTTCATACTAAAATAAAGTGCAGCTTTGTTTGCGATTTAGTCCTTTGTGATCATATCGAAATTTAAATGTTCATCATGATCAGCAATGATTAAAATTTCTAAAATTCATTGATTACGCACATTACCCTATCACACACTATGCTCCAACAGGTTATTGGAGACATATCGGGAATAAGCCAACCCTCTGTGTCGAGGATTGTTAAGAAAACATCCAAAATTCTGGCTCAAAAAGTAGGAAATTATGTAAAATTCCCAGCAACACATACAGAACAATTGGCAGTAAAGCAGGGCTTTTCCACGGAATTCAACATGCCCAACACTTTAGGCTGTGTTGATGGAACTCTCATTGCTATAAAGCCGCCATCGGAAAGAGAAGATGCCTGCGTATGCAGAAAGGGATACCATGCCATCAACGTCCAGGGTGTGTGTGACCACAGAAAGATGCTTACAAATATCGTGGTCCAATGGCCTGGCAGCACTCACGATGCTTATATTTGGAACAATTGTAAGCTGAGAGAATGGTTCGAGGGTCAGCCTTACGTTGGGCATCTCCTGGGGGATCAGGCATATGCTTTGCGCCAATATCTTTTGACTCCATTAAAAAATCCTCAGACACAGGCTGACCGGGCTTTTAATGTAGCTCATAAAAAAGCACGACAAAGGATAGAAGACACTTTTGGTCGTTGGAAAAGTCGATGGCTCTGTATTCACAAATATGGTATGTTTCTTTAATATCTAGATGGAATTATTCAATGCCAATATTCTTACATGTATATCTAAGGCATCGTATTGATAATGTATTTCCCCCCCTTTTTTCCAATACATGTAAGGCTGAATAAGTAGCAAGACCAAAAAATTAGCAGCTTTTATCATTATACTCCGCGCTTCAAACGTGGGGTATATAACTATACTGATTAGGGTGTCCGTCCGTCTGTCAGTCCATCTATCTGTCTATGTCCGTCCGTCCATTACAAACAGTACGCTATGGAATACCCATCTCTTATGCGCAATTTGTCAGCCATTATGCACCCCTAACTTTCTTTTAGCACATGGATACCGCCATTCTTTCTATAATAATTCAAAAGCACACCCCCCCCCCCCCGCCCCTGGAATTTGCAGATTTTAGAAATGTATGTACTAAATTAAATTAAATGATACCACAAGCATCCCCCTCTATAAAATGCATTAGATTTTTTCCAAGTACCGCATGTCTTTAAAAACAGTGGATGCCAAATAAATTTTTAAAAACATTGTCTTCCTGAGGGAACATTGATTTAAATCATTTTTAAATCATTTGAGAAATATCAAGCATTATGTCTAATACTTTATACAAGGGAACTGCAAGCCGGATTGAAAATCAATTAGAATTAATTGGATGTTTTCAACGAGGTCCGCGCTGAAATTTTGATTGAACAGATGAAACATATGTTTTGTATTGTCATTCTTACCAGCCAATATTTTTTGGGTTTTAACTTTTTAGGTGGACCCTTGACCGTTGCACTTCAGACTGCAGTGGATGTTATCACATCTACTGCAGTGCTTCATAACATATGTGAAAAGCAAGGGTTCCCTGTTGAAATGCAGCAGGATAACGATGACAATGATACCGACGAAAGAGTGGACAACGATGTTCAGGATCGAAGTGGACAGCAGATGAGGGCCATAATCATCAGAGATAGGTTTTAGGTAATACGTCTCTCACATATTTCAAATCTCTCTCTCTCTCTCTCTCTCTCTCTCTCAAATTGCAGAATGTGATAAAAAAAATAGGAGCAATTGTATGTATTATCTAATTTCTTTACATTTCTTTGTAGATTGAAAAGAAAACAGAGATAACTACGATGTCTAGAACTTATTGTTCATTTGTAATTCTGGAAAAATACATCGTATTTAACAGTTAAAACTTACATATATGCTGTTCATAATGAATGGAACTTTATGTTTTGTATGTACATGCAAATCAAAGAAAACAGTGGATATAAGAATTAAAAGAATTATCAAATGCAAATTAATATTCCTCAAATTTGCATAAATGCACCGTTGAACAGTTGAAATTCCGATGTATTGCGTTCCGAATTATTACAAGTGGCGGAAAATCCCCTGGCCCGCTCATCCATCTCCAGGCGTCGACGGTCTATCTGAAGCCTCTCCCTCTCGATACCGAGTCTCTCTTTCTCCACATCTAGCCATTCTCTTTGAATATTGATCAGTTCTCTCTGTAGTACCATGCTACCGAAGAACAATCATTCAGTATACTCAAAAACTCGTACTAACGTATAGTTATGTCAAGACAATTAAGCTTATCTTTTTAAAAAAAAAATGGGTGAGGTAGCGCTGTAGCATAATGAAAAACAGAAGATAATCATCTGAACCAAATTTTAATTTGCTGAATCAGATTTTAAAAAAAGACACATTGTTGCACGGGGGGGGGGGGGGCATAATTCAGAATGGTCAATCTATAAGAGTGTACTTCACGTCGGCAATGGATAACTCTTTAACTCTTAACAACATTCTGTATTTTGCGTTGCTTTCAATTTCGAGGTGAAAAAAAGGTCAGAAGAGCCAATGAGTACCTACTTAAAAGATTTCCATTGTATTACTATTTTTTTACTAATAGCATCCATTCGGGCCTTTCGGTCTGGCAAGCTCGGAAAATATATCCGAGGTTGCCGCGATCATGAAGGAAGATTAGAAAAGCTATGCATTTATTACAATTTTAGAAACACAACTGTCATAATCTTGGTTTTATAAAACCCAACTTACTGTTACTTTTTGTACATTTAAGTGCAGGTTAGACAATAAAACTCTAAACTTCCGATTGTACATGTATGTATCCTGATCTAGACTAGTATTGCCAGTGTCAATTTCAGAGCATTTATATTTGTATGACAAAACGAAATTTTTATCGTTCAGTCTATCTTTAGTAGTTTACCCATGATTCCCGAACGTGACATCGAGCATGCGTATTCAAGAATATTAACTAACGTAGCTGCTAGCGATCGAGAGCGCTAGTAAAAAGGTACGTATTCTAGTTTTAGATCTAACTCAATAAAAGCGGAAAAAGAGTTTCCCAGAGATGTGTGTAAGCCAATTAATGTCAGCAGTTTTGAGGGATGGATCGAAAGTTTTACTGGTTTTAAATTAAAGCTAGAATACTTATTATTTAGAACTTTTTGAACCTTTTTCCCTTTTTTTTCCTTTGATGGGTGAAAGGGGGGGGGGTGTCTCCATGCAAATCATATGCGGTAAAAAAAGTAGAATATAACAAAAATTCTAGTAAACTAATCGTTTAGTAAAAATTAGATGCACTTCAAATGTTTAAGTGTAACGAAATCTAAATATTTTCCCCAGTATATATAAATTGTACGGCGCATACATATAACTTTTTTTCCCTTTAATTTTTAAAATTTTCTTCCAATCTATTTTTGCAGTTTGGGAACTTGTGCCTCGTGCATTTTACTTACTTTGTAAATAAATGAAGGTTTTTGAAAAGAACTATATATTTTCTTCAGGGCACATGAGATTACTTCCTGGGGAAGAAATTTATTTTTTTAACTACGAAAACTTAAAACATAAGATCCCATGGGTGATTTGCATCAATTACACTTTTCTGGACTTCATCGCACAGGCACTTGTTTCTGTAGTAATTTTTTAACCCATTGTATAAAAAATATTATACTATGGGTTAAAATTATTGAAGAAACAAGTGCCGTTGCTTCATTGCTATCGAAAATGGACGGGGTTTCTTGGCATGCTACTCAGAAAAATGCAATCAATGTGTTATCCAAATACTAGCATATAAAATCACCTCTCATCGGCCTCATATTGGATTGGCCGCCTTTTCATTTTCTTCGTGCAGAAAGCAGATTCTGGTGCTATTTCACTGATGCCTCCTTCTGTAGTCGTCTGTACCTCTTGTACTTCTTGTGGTGGACTCTCTCCAGAGACAGCTTTGCTTGGTGTCTGAGTGCATGGAATTTGGTACATGATAAACTTGATAATTTCTGGCTTGCTAATAACTCATGTCATAAAAAAATTATATATATATTTTTTTTTATAGGAGGGAAATTCATAATAAGATCAATATTTACAATCTGCATTTTTTTTTTCAATGAAGATTTCTAACTCACGTTTCTACAGTAGTTTTAAGGACATAGGCTACTATCCCTATAATTGTATCCACAGTATCATCTCAGAATGATGTAACATGAATTAACCGTCAGTAGTAAAGTATTTTTTATAAAAAGAGGAAACAAGGATAAATGTAGAAATCACGCCATCTCTATGACAGGGGAAGTAACTATAATGGCATATTAGAAATGCAGAGAAAAAAATTAAAACACAGATTTAACACTCAAGTTCTGAATTATTATAATTAATATAATAAAGCGATTCGAACGCGATAATTTGTGTACTATAGGTTATGTATATCCATATATTGAAATTTAGTGGCTTTTTATGTGAACATCGTTCAAAATTGTTGAAAGTCTTGAAACAAACATATTGTTTTAGATTAAAGCAAATAAATGACGGAATGAAATTAGGCTCACTTACAGGTGGAATCATGGTGTCTACATACGAGCTGAATCCAAAAATCCTCTCCTCTCCCATTACAGACACAATATCTTCTTCCATTGGGCTTAAAGGTATAATTTCCAGTTTTCCACTCCCCGTCTTACAACGTTCTTTCTGGACGGCAGAAGCTCTCTTCTTTGTACCCCTCTTCACATCATCCCACTTCTTTTTAATTTCATCGACAGTTCTTTTTGAGAATGAGACAGCATTTACAGATTCCATAATTTCCACCCACGCTTGCTTTTTCTTTGTATTGCTGATCATGTCACTGAATTTTGAGTTGATGACATCTGAACGTTCTTTAACTCCTTGAACTAATATTTCAATTTCTTTTTCACAAAAGCGCGGCTTCTTTTTTCTATCTTCCATAATTTCAGCTTTAATTGTCAGAATTTCAATGATGTCATTTTCTTAGTCATGACGTCACAATAGGTTCACAGGACAAAAGAGATATCAAGAGAATCTATCTAAACCTATGTACAAATATATATGTTACGCCGAAAACGTTTATTATTTATTCATTATTTGTAAATTGCTGTTTATTCATTTATTATATAAATAATTACCAGTTTCAATCGAGTATATTTAAAAAATGACCCCCCCCCCCTCCCCGACTACACATTTAGTTATCTAATAATCACAACAATATGAATATTTTGATTTCAATAGTTATAAATAACCTTTAAAAAGCTTTATTTTTGTTCACTATAAAAATATAAACACGTGATAAAATACTGTCTTATTCTTTTTTTTTCTTAGAAAGTTATTACTCATTTAAGTTTTGATTCTTTAATTTCGAGTATGCAACACATTTGATTAAAAAAATAAACAAAACACCCTCAAAACTATTAAAGTTTTAATATGGTCATAACTCTTTTTCGTTCAATGCAGGTGCCCGTTCAGCGTGTTTCACTTGCGGAAACTTTCCGTAAATTTCGCAAAGTTTACGGAAGCTTCGTGAATACGCCGTAAACCACCCGTAATCTTTCCGTAAACTTTCCGCAATCCCTCCGTAAACGCTCCGCGACTGCGGAAATTACGGAGGCTTTGTGAATAAGGTCCTACCCCTGAAATTTCCACGGGTCCGTGTTTATGCTGTTCACATACTTGTATTGTTTCATTTTCATTTTAATTTCTTTTCGTTTTATGTAGAATGGATATCATTCTTTTCAAAAATTGTAGTTAAATTTGAATAGGGTAAGAGGATGGTACATCAATACGAAACGATGCTTGAACATAAAGTCCTTTACTCATTTGAAACCCCCTACCAGAAAGTTTCTACAGTCATGGCAAATTAAGAAGACACCGTAGTCAAACCCCCAAAAAGTTTTTTTTCTTGCGTGGGGTTTGTCACAAAGACGAAAGGGATAACAAAAGTAGTTTGTACATGTTGTTTAACGTCAAGAATTTTTCACTCATTTGGAGACGTCACCATTTGCCAGCGGAGAGCTGCGAATTTCGTCCTGTACTCGGCACTTACGGCCATTGAACAGTGATCTAGGGGTCTTTATCGTGCAAGCACCTACTGCGACACGGGACCTTAGTTAATACGCCCTCATCCGAAGGACCGGTCTCCAATTTTCATAGTGGGATTCGAACCCGCTGTATAAAGGCCCTGTCACACCAAGCTGCGTTCACACGGAGTTATTACGGCGCTGTTAAATTTTTAAAATCGCCGTGGAATCGCAGGAAAATTGCACATATTTCTGTAAAATTTTCACAATATGAAGATGTCACGGCGTCCCTACGGCGACGGACGCGATTCTACGGCGATCTCACGGCGTTCTACTGCGTTTCCACGGAGATCTCTCGGCGATTGACTGCGCTTCCGCGGAGTTTTCACGGCGCGTTAGGAGTTTTCACCTCGTGTTCACGGCGTTCTCACTGCGCTGGCTGCGTTCACAATACGTTCACAATGCACTCTAAACTCAAGAAATATTCTTGATAATTAAAAATGTTCTATATTTAAATAATTTAGTACTAAATTATTAATAGTTTTATGATTAAACTCCTTTTTTTTTAATTTCATTGGTTCAGTTGTGTTGTTAGATTTTCTTTATTTTATTATGAATGTAAAAAAAAAAATAAATAAACACACCGAAAAGTTTTCTACAAAATTTAAGTGAAACACAGAACAAGTTCTAGTGTAATTTTCTCTTCCATTTTTTCACTTAAATGCTCCTAGTGCAACAAATACGTTGGGATTATTGCTGATCAAATATGATCCCATTGCTCTTGTTTTGTGACAACGCTCTAACAACGCCGTGAAAGCGCATTGTGATCGCCAACGGACGCTGTAGAAACGCCGTGGGAGCGCAATGATCGCTGTGACAACTCCGTGCTGTCGTCGTGTAATCGCAGTCGAAAAAATCATAAGACGATAAATCTCATTAGAAGCGCCGTAAAAACGCGATGGAAACGCAGTGACATCTCCAAGGACTCCGTGAGGTCTCCGTGGAAGCGCAGTCTACTATCACTGCGTTCGTGCCGCGATCATGTGCGTCTTCACGGCGTTCGCACGGAGCTCCCACCACGTTGTTGGAGATCCCACCGCGCTGCTACGGCGATCATACTACGTTTCTACCGCGTTCTGATCAGACCGCGATCACACGGCGCGTACTTTGTGCATGCCCAAAGTGATCGCCGTCCCCTGGCGTTCTTGGAGACCCTACGCGACCCTACGGCGTTCAGTGGAGATCTCGCCACGTTGTCACGGCGCTGTAGGAGATTCTACTGCGATCACCTCGGCGTTTTGCATTTTTTGAGGACGCCGTGCAGTCGCCGTGAGGACGCAGCCCTGGTGTGACAGGGGTTTAAGGGTCAACTCGATACGTCGCGTAGTTGTTAGAGCATCCGCTATACAGTCGCGAATTAAGGAGTTGACCTTATGTAGCGGGTTCGAAGACCGATCTTTCGGATGAGACCATAGAAACTGAGGTCCCGCAGGGGTTAGACAGGGTTGCATCATCTCCCCATGTTTTCATTGGTCCAACTGACTGGGTAATAAAATTTGCATGGCGCAGTGGTTATAGAGCGTTGGCTCTCGAGTCGCAGAATTAGGAATTGATCCTTACGTCACATGTTCGAATGGTCCATATCGGGACGTGTATACCGGTCCTTCGGGTGAGAAAAATTAAACTGAGGTCCACTCGCACAAAAAGTGCTGGCACGAAAAAGATCCCTTGCTACACAATGGTCCTGATAGCCGAGTATAGGTGTAAAAATTGCAGCCCTCCACAAGCAACTGGTTGCATCTTAATATGATTGAAAAAAATCTCGAAAGGGGGTCAGTTAAATTAAATAAACCTTTTGCTTAAAACATAGATAACTTGAGCACATTAATCAACTTGTACAGCAGACATTTCCAATAAAGCAAGCTAATTCAGAGAATTTGTGTCCCCCGCTTAGGGAAAAAGTAAACCATGCGCAGTTCGGGGGGAGGGGGGGGGGGGGTCGGATCCCCTTGACTTAATTTGTAGAATTATTAAATGTATACATGTATAATGAAGCAAATAAAATATGCCAATATGGATATAAAGGTTTGATTGCTTATTCTTTATTATGTGTATAGAAGATTCTTTTTATACGGAATATTTATCACACTATAACGATGATTTTATGAGTTTGTACAAGCCAGACCTCATAAATTTTTCATTTCACATGAATACCATCATTTAGTAAAAAAAAAATGTATTTCGAAAAAAAAAACACTTAGATCTCCCGGGATGCGAACCCAAGGGCCCTCTCACATAAGAAGCGAGAGACATACCACTAGACCACGGAGCCGCTTTAAATCAGTGGAAATTACATGCAAAGATGAAGTCACATACATGTATGTATTCACGTTCGATACTGTCAAAATTTTACACAATGCAGTTCTATTACATGTAATAAGAATATAAAGTCCACCGAGAACCTGTTTTATACGTAATAACTCTCCTCATGCCCCTGTGCTAAAAATAGCGACATATAATACAATAAATACTAACAAGTTTATCTTTTAAAAAGATAGGTGAGCTAGCGCCGTAGCAATTTTTAAACAAAGAAAGGAAGATCCGTGATCAAGTGATTTATTTTGATGAATTCTTTAATTTTTATCGAGGTTGGAGAGTGATAAAGTTATTATTGTTTTGTGAAACGTATTTTATAGACACATAGGTAAAGAAACACGGGTGGGTGGGTGACCTATAGTTTAAGAGTTTTGGCGCAAAGGAACATATATAACCTTTACTGGAGATGGGGGGGGGGGGGCTCTATGCAATAAGAAGAAGATGCCGATTGAGACATTGCATGTATGAGCTGATTCAAAGAAGAGAATTGCCTGGCAATTTAGCAAAGAAAATACATGGGAGTTGAAAGTAATATAGAAAATAACTCAAAGTGTATGTTGTGTAAAGAGTCCAGAGAGTTTGGAACGCATGTGAAGTAGCTTAATTGGTCCTTTGGGTCATCTTTGTCAAGATATGTTAGGTTAAAAGCCATACACATCAGAATTTTTTTAATGCAAATAGTGGATGTATTCGTTAATTTTAGTGTAAATTCTTGCTTCTGTTTCTGGAATTTGGAAGATTGGCTGAATTGACCAAGCAGAAATTAGAATCTATCTTTGGTTGTGCTTATACCAGATGTAAAAAAAAAAAAAACTTCCTTGTCATTGCTTAGAAGAATCAGATAATGACTCGGGGTTTTCCGTCAGCAAACAAAACCCCCAGAATTTGAAATATTATAAATATGAAGTTATCTTTAAAGTGTAAGCTACACAATAAATAAACAGTTATTTCATGCTACAACATGATACAACGAAATTGTTATCGTACGGTCTATCTGTAATAGATTTCACAGTTTTCCCAGAATGCACGGCCATGGCGGCCGAGCATGCGTATTCAAGGAATTTGGACTAACGTAGTTGCTAGCGCTCAATAAAACAAACGGGGCGGGACACTTTGAGAGGGATGAGAGGGAGTTTTGGTGTAAAATTACATTGCAAAAGCTCAGAATCTTGAAATATCGCCCGGAAATGATAGTGTTTCATACAGACAGAATATATACCTCAAAATCAATAAGGGTCTTCCTTCGGCCACAGGGAGTTATGTAAAATTTCATTGCAAAAGATCAAAGTGTTCTCGAGATATCGCACGGAAACGAAAGTGTTATTAATATATTCGATCAGTGCATACTATTAGTTCAAGATATATTACTGTAGTCAGCGGCGACTCACACAAATTGTTCCGACAAAAATAGTTCCATCATTAATAAGTAGATACAACATAATTGTTCATGATAAGAATAATGTTGTGTAACCAAAATTAATGTTAATTTTTCCTCCAAAGATCACTTTCCCCCCTAAATGCAAATAAAAAATGTGAATATTCCCACGCTCGCTCCCTCCTCAGTTTTTATCTTAACATGTTTGGTAACAGAGAATATCTAGGTCCGAGAGTACCTGTAAAATGCATGTGTAACAAAACCCGAACTGGCCGGGGATTTCTAAACTGACAATCGTTTAATTTTTATGAATCAGAATTTGTATTCCTGTGATCTAATTATGAAAAAAAGTTCTGTCTGCCATCGTAACTTCTCTGTTCTCGGGAGTCCGTTTGACAACTCCATCGCACGTGTGTATAGACCAAGGCTAACTGTCTTGCGGACATAGGTATGTGTACTGTTTGTTAGCATGGTTAGGAGACGGGTGACCGTAATGCTACGGACTCACGAAATTTACACAAGTTCTATAACTAGACAGTGCAGTTTTATTTTTATAAACGTCATTAAACACTGTTAAACATATTAAATCTAAAAGTCGAATATCTTTGAATATGGGGTAACCCATATCTATTCTTGTAAAAGACAGAATTTGCGAATTTATGACCTTGACCTTTGACCTTTTGACCTCAAAATCAATAGGGTCCTTCTGTAGTCCAAAGGGAGTTGCTATGCAAAATTTCATTGCGAAAGCTCAAAGGGTTCTAGAGATATCGTGTGGAAACGAAAGCGTTACAGACAGACAGAAAGACGGACGGACGGACGGGCAGACCCAAATTAATATCCCCCACTTT